ATATTTTATCCTTTAAATTGGGGCATGTATATATATATATATATATTATATATATATTTTTTGGGATGTATCAGAATGAGGTGCCCCTTTTTGTTAGGACAATTTCTCAAAATTTAAGGTTAAGGGCTCTTTTAGACATACAGATATGATAGTATGTATATTATATATATATATCTATATCTATATCTATATATTTTTTCTCCCAAAACTCAGCTGGTGTAAAGCCAACCCTACTCAGTGGTTTCCCCCACTAAGGATTCACTGCTGCGACTATTGCCTTCAGCAAATGGGCGACAGTTATGTGCAGGACCCTGCTGGGGCTTGGGCATACTGACAAGCAATCATCCCACATACACATCCACTACAATATTATTTATCAATATATGCTGGTTATGTAGTAAGTGTTTTATTATGTGTATATATATAAATCATTTATTTACCAAATCTTATATGTTTGTTTTAACCAGACCACCACTGTCACACGCCCATCGTCCTTGCCAGGACTTGGACCTATTCGAATGCTTCAGCGGGAAGTCTCGCCTGTCAGCAGCATTTGGCCAAGCGCCAAGGTGTTGGGATTGGGTCGTCTGTTCGGTGCCACTAGATCAAAACAATATGTTGTGTTGATTTCTTATAAGGTCGCAGTGGCCTTGCTGTGTCACCACCTCAGTGATGTGAACCAAAACCTTCATAACAGTACTATGTCAAAAAAGGTTGTTGGGTCACAATTTCATCATTATCAACCTAGCTGAGGAAAAACTTTGATGTGGTCAATGGCCCACAGCAGGATTTGAGTACCCCTACTGGTTTCTTGCTAGCGCTCAAACAAACGCTGCGACTTAAGCCTGGCTCACTTCTTGTTGGAGGGGTGCCATGCAGTTCGATGCCTGGTTATGTTTACAACCCTTTTTTAATACCTAGATACGGTCGACCCACAATGGGATTATTGGAGATTTCCCATAGCCATGCAATATCCCTAGTTGTATTTCCTAATATACTTATATGTATATACATATACATGTTTATGGGGTTCCCAATTTATTATCATAAGTCTACCTCTAATATCCAAGGTGGATTTGGATTTCATCTTCGACTTCAAAACGCTCGTTGGACAATATCCTAGGCGATGTGGCCCGACCGTTTGTGCGCTTGGGCAACATGCTCAGCGCTAGATTTGCGATCTTGGCTATGGTTTGTTTGGTGCATGGATGTATGTGGATGGTATCTTAGCGTGCAACCCAAGGGGGCACATGATGTTTTCGTGGTTAACTGAAAACTTTAGGCAAAAAAATAGTTAGACCCGAATACTTCAACCTCATGATCAATAGAAGCAGTTGCCGCTTTGCTAAGGTAGAACAACCAGGATCAAGCTTGCTGCGGCATGCGCCGTGGTATGTGCACCTGCTAACCAACTGCGGACCATGCTTCTTCCGCAGAACGTGGATGGGGCTTTACGGCGCTAAGAGCTGTAAAGCTACGCAACTTTTTGGGTCGTCGCAGGGGGCTTATCCAAATCGCTGTTCACATACCACATGTGATTCTAATGAAACTTCTTGGGTATGGGTCAATTTAAAAGATCATAATTTTGTCAGGGTGTTGAACAACATTGACACATAACTGATCCTTGCATACTGGCTAGGTTGGTTAACCAATCCCAATACCTAGGCCTATGATCATGGATTTCGAGACCCACATGCCGAAACCCAAACGAGATGAGTTGCAACTATCCTCAAAGGGCATGGTTAAAAAGACCATTAGCAAATCAGATCCAAACAAGGTTTGGGTGAAGCTTGGTGAAGCTTGGAACCCTCATTAATTTTGAAAACCCAACTCAAGGGAATGATATTTTTATTTTTATGACCCCCAACATGCAGTGTTGCCAACCATCTAGTTTATCTTCCATACCAAGAAGCGGTGATGTTGGACTTCGCGAATCACAAGCCTACCCGAAGAAGTTTGCCCAGACTTGCTTGAATTTTTTCAAGAAGCAAGATGTGCCCTGGCACTTATATATTCAACTTCATTCACCTCATGATGAAAACAACACCTTTATTGCGTAGGTATAGTGTTTAAACCCTGCCATCCCAGAGTTGCCAACCTGTCCCGTTGCCCAGGCGTCAGTGGCCGGCCTCCTTCCGAAGGTCTTTGATCGAATGCAGCAGATGCACCCAGAACCATTTGTTCCTTGACAGCGCAGCGGGGCTCTGATTACAATGACCCAGTCAATAGGACCCCATAGCAGGTCATAATAGTTTTCACATATCGTATTATCATCAACATGTATAGCACTAGTTGGGGGAACATATTGGCTATACCATTATCATATCATCAGGGGAGAGGTTGATGGGGTATGTCTCCAAATTTCATGCACCTTTCAGTTGGTGATGTTAGCATTTTCTCTTTGGGATTGTTGGATTGGCACCAATTAAAAAAACAAACCATGGAGTAGACCCTGGAAACAAATGCTATTGGGTGGTAATTTTGCGGGGGGCCTTTTCCTAGAGACTGTTCCTAGGGTGGCAAACCAACAAGAACAAATACATTGGGATATAATATAGTTTTATGGCTTCCAAAAAAAAAATTTGCTGAATCATCATGTATGATTTACTTTGGGGCCCCTATATGATATGAAACAAAATCCTTTATCGTGTACCATCCCTGTGGTTCCTTACATATTGAAACTCCGGAATGGCATGTCAATATCCACATCAATAAGCTTATAAGATATATATATATATAGAGCTATATTATTACAAAATTATTGATTGTTCTAGTTCGTTTGACAGATAATTATAAATATAAAGATATATACATGATGGGTATATGTCTCAAAAGGATGTGCCCTTTCTGCCCTCTAAAATGGTACATTAACGGAGGAAAAGGGCACCTCATTAAAACACATAGGGTGAACCTCTAAGTAGTGGATTCCCCAAAGATGTTTTCATATCTAAGGACCTTTCTGGAGCCTGGGTGGATGCTGATTTGAACAGCCTTAAATTGTTCCTGAAGGAGGAGCATCGTGCTGGCAGGTTTAAACCTCAAGCTGGCCTGCCCTTCGATGATTAGGTTTTTCTGCCAGCCGTCGATGTTGTAGGTGTTGATATCATCAAAACTCAAATCAGAACACCTTACCAATATAGTTTTGCTGGAATTGGTGGCACTTGATGGGACAGGCTGGTCTCAACGCCTATGATTACTATTAATTAGCAAACCATTGCCCAGAATTTGTAGCTGTGGCATATCCAATTCGCCTTGATGGCACAGATGTGTATCCATGATGTTCCGAATTAGATCTGACTGCCTTGGAACCCTACCACGGCCAAAAAAAATCCATTTGGGGGTAGCGTGAGAGAGCGTGACAGAGCGTGACTGAGCGTGACGAAAGCTTAAAACAATACTAAAAAATAGTACTTATCGGAAAATCAGCGTGACTGAGCGTGACTGAGCGTGACAAGAGATTTTTGGGGGAAATCTAGGGGGAGTAAAAAGTTGGACTTCCAATTTGATTTGCTTTACCTCAAAATACCAAAAAAGTTGTTTATATAGACTAGGATCAATCCCATGACTTGGTCCATATGATCTTTGCCTTTTGTAATTAGCACCATTTGGATCAGATCCCAGCTCGTTGCCGAGCGGCTTTGCGGCATTTTGCTGACATAGCCTTGGACAATGCCAGACATCGAGGAGGAGATGCGTCAGGCCACCCCCTTTCTGTCATGAGGAGTTCACGTTTGCTTACCATATCCATGACAATGTGAACATATTAATAGCTAACCCCATGATAAAACTTGGGTTATATATATATTATATATATTATTTACCCTCTTACCTCTTTGCGAATGATGATTTAATATAGGGCTGAATAGGTGTCGAGGATGGTAGTTTCGTTGAAGGTTTACATTCTAAGGGATCAAGTTAAGGAGACTAAAGCTACCCCTTTGGCCCCTTGTGAGCAGCTTATATTCGATTCTCAGTCTTAAGCTTCTGTGTATATTGCTTATGTTGCAGGCGGCGAAAGCTGCACGTGAAGCAGGAGTTCGCCGGAAACAGCTGGCCCGATCAATTGCTTCTACAGCATCTTCTAGTGGCAGCAGTGGCAGTGGGAAAAGATCAAGCAGGACCATGGAACCTACAGCCTCTACCCAGGTCACCCCAGACCCCAAGCAGGTGTGTAGTGTGCCACCCACTGTTGAGCCCCGTTCGTTGGCATTTGACACGGCAATTGGTGAAGGTGGGGTGTTTGTGCATGTAAAATGTTGTTTTGGGTTTGTGGGTTTTGTATGCATGCATGCACACATGTTATTTTGCTATAATATATATATATACACATATATATATATATTATATGTGAATAGACGTATATATATATATATACACGTACAAACCGATATATATATAAACATATACTACCATGTATAACTTTGGAACAAGTCTGGAACCCTATGGTACCATACACACCATGACAATGTATCTCCCGTAGGTGACACTGGTTTGGACGCAACCCAAAAGCTCTATCTCAATCCCGAGATCTGGACTGTTTCTAGGCTGACTTTTTGTCTCATCAAAACTGCATGTGTGTAGTTTCTTTTTGTGGTTTTCCATTAACATAGCTCTCACGTCATCCATGTGGGAACCAAGGATGCACAGCCCCGTGATTCGCAAGACCTGTTGTTTCCACCTGTTGATGACACAGCAGTTGACGACGAAGCTGATGCTTCACTATCCCTTGTGTTGGACCACCCAACTGTACCTTCTACGCTTGGGGCTGAGGAGACACTGACACCTGCCCCACCTGCCCCACCTGCCCCGGCTGTGGAGGGCAGCAATGCCGAACCTGTGATTCCTGTCGAATCATTGCCTGTGCCTACGACCTCACATGCAGCTCCTATGGTCCCTGGGTCCGTTGGTGGTGAGGGAAAACATAAGGGGAAAAGTCCTACAGATGAAGCCATCAAATTTACTCCAGTGACAGCAGCTGGTATGGCAGCTTTTTTTCAGCCATGAGACGACCAAGCACCCAGATGTCTTTTGCTACCGAGTCTGAAGTAGCTACCCCAGAACGCAATGATGTGGTGATGCCAACCCCCGCTGAGAACCCAGCAGCTGCAGCACCAGCAGAGCCAGCAACACCTGCCACTGCAGCGGTGACACCCTCCAGCGGAGCATCAGCAGCAGAAATGCCAGTTGCATCAGCCGATGTAGTTATGGCAACCCCAGCCCCAAAGGCAGCAGCAAAGCAAGCAACAGCATCTAGTGATGGTGATGATGTAGTGATGGCACCCCCGACTGAGATTGCAGCAGCAGCAACAGCAGTGGCACCTAATGATGTAGTGATGGCACCCTCAACTGAGAACGCAGAAGGGCAGCAAGCCACACCCACAGAGCCGACAGAACCGACTGCGAAGCCTGGTGTTACCATTGTCTTTGGCCCCCCCTGCTCAACCTTTAGCCATGCCCAAGCAGCCGCCCCATCACCCACCAACCCGACACCTGCCAATCCACCCAACAGCAATCCACCCAACCCTCCGGCACCTGCCAATCCACCCAACGGCAATCCACCCAACCCGACACCTGCCAATCCACCCAACGGCAATCCACCCAACCCGACACCTGCCAAACCACCCAACGGCAATCCACCCAATGGCAATCCACCCAACCCCACACCTGCCAATCCACCCAACCCTCCAACAGCTGGCAATCCACCCAATCCACCCAATGCATTGGCAGCTGGCAATCCACCCAACCAACCCTCAGGTAGCAATCCACCACCAGCAGAGCCAGCCGATGACCCTGAAGTGTCCAAAAACGCAGCCAAGAACCAATATATGCGATATTACCGCTCTTTGCGCAGTCTGAACTGTCCCCCAGCTGTTCGGCAGAAGTTTGACGAAGCCAACGAATGCCCACCTGCAGAATGTCAGCAGAAACTACAAGAGCTCTTCGAAGAGTTTAAGCGTTGCAACGGTGACTGGCTTCAGTCCAGCATATGCTTACAAGAAAGCAGGTCCCACAGCACAGCAACCTGCGGCATTTGGAAATGGCTCACCCGTAGTGACACATGACAGCACTTATGCATCGATGTTCCAAAATACATGTAATGCAGCATAACAATAAACTTTAGCGTTCAATGACCCATGCCCCAAACCCGTGTATCTAAGGAGCTCAAGGCCCGATATTCAGAAGACATGGTGGACAAGCTTTGCCGAGAGAAGGCCGGCATTATATTATAGATATACTTCTAGTATATTCCTGTTTCCTCGGCAATGATTTTGAGGGGATAGATGTTTTCAACCACTTGCCAGGAGCAGAATGGTGAAACCAAACCACATCCTGAGTTTCCTGGGCTTGAAGACTCTAGGCTGCAAGCCATTTTGCACCCTTCCTACCAGTAAAAGATTACTTAGCTGTATGATATGTAATCTCATAAATAATGCATATAAAACTAAAAATCCAGATCACCGTACATTTGTCCCACCAGTCCCCCATTCAATATGAGGCCGACATATATGTATATATGCATAGTATTTCTTTATCTATGTATCATATGTTTTTCTACAAATGCATTTTGTTTAAATAAAAATGCATATTCTACAAATATATATATGTAAAATATACATATTATGTATCTGATAATCCGCCACCTTTTCGCTCCAACTGCCATCCAGCCCAGCAGCCCAGGAGATGAAGTTGTTCTATTGCTGGTACGAGGACAGCACCAGCACAGTTGATCAGTACGAGCAGCGACAGAACCTGGTGCATGAGACCGGGTATGGTGGAGAAGATGATCAGGATGGGGATGGTGGAGCAGCCCCTTCAATCCCCAACAAAGGGAAGGGTGTTGGAAAAAATGGTGGCAAGGGAAACAAAGGAGGCAAGGGAGGCAAAGGTGGCAAGGGTGGTGCGTCCATCCCTGTTCCAAAAGTGCCCAAAGAGAAGAAACCCAAGACTCCGAACCAGTTGGCGCGGGCAGTTACTTGTTCATGACCATATTTATTCAATTTTGATCTTTCCGAACAACTATGCATAGCCCCAGCTTGTGATAATTTGATGGTGACATGTTTCAAAGAAAACAATTTTGTTTTTATTTATATATATATCGTGTTTAAATCACCTTCAGAAATCTGTTACCGTATGTATCCCTTGGATCCCTTACTTGATCATTGTTGTACCCCATCATCCACTTAGGCTATTGCGACTGCAAACAACAATATCTTGGAGATCTCCCAGCTGAACCTGAAGTTGGCCAAAGCTGGGGTGTGCCTCGGCCCAACCCAACTTAGTTCAGGTCAAGGAGCAATTGAGATCCAATATAGGTGATCATCCAGACATCGTCCAATAGCGATGGCCATGCTCATGTCCACCGCCAAGTAGTTTTTCTTAGCGCGGCAAAACACAAGAACCAATCACACAGAATGACCACACGGATGGGGATTGATTCAACATCAACCTGTTGCAGTTAGGGCGAGGGAATATATATATAACTAGATTATTATATCCCACAAGATTAGGAATTTCATAAAGTGAAGGTAGCCTGGCCCCAAATCATCCAACACTAGGCATGCTTTAGTATTTGAAACCATAATGGTTCTGGGAATCCTTCATTTTGGGAAACACCCATATACATCTAGCATCAATCTTCAGGCAAATGATTTAGCTATGCTGTTTAAAATGTTTGGTTGCAGGGGCTTTGCAAATGTATACATGTGTTCAAAACATACTAAGCCATACTACCAAACCAGTCTTACAGCCAAGGACGGAGATTATCAGGACCGCTTTGGTCCAGCAGTTGGCTGTCAGCGAGACCGAACTTCGGGCGGGGAAGACATCCCTGGAGACTGCTTTGGCGATGGACCAGGATCTGGTTCAGCCAACCAATGTGTTGGAAGATATCAACAAGGCCTTCAAGGAATCAATCCGACAGGCCAACTTACACTTACCTAAGCCCAAGGCTAAGGCCAAAGCTGCTGCCTGATTTGGTTTGCTTTGGATCCACTGGCGTTTCAGGGATAACTTCTAAACCATTTACATTTTTTGTGTGCCATTCTCCATTGATGTGTGTTTGCGCAGTGGATTCTGCTGAATGAACTTTTGATCAGCTTCGCTAGTGCTATGTGGCCTCTTACGGATGAGACTCCATGTTGTGGATAAGATAGCAGGGGTTCTACCATTGTGGAGCCTAGCCAGGGATGTATGTTGGGTCCCAAGGTGAACTTAACTAATTTTGCATGTGTAGTTATACCAGCAAATATTTGTTCAATCACCAAAATGTTTTCCAAGTATGGGCCCAGCTGCAGAACTGGATAGGTAAAAACTATCCACAGTGCATTTGCGTTTTGGCTATCCACCACTCTCGGCTCTCGACGGCATCAAATCTCTTGGGCAGAAAAAAAGATAGGGAAGAATTTCAGAATTCCAATATTATGGGATAAACCCAAAATACAACATCATATTTGTGAAATTGATTTGGAAACTATAATTAAAGATAAAGTAAGGGAGAGGGAGCGATAGGAAGAGAGAGAGGGAGAGAGATATAGAAGAGAGAGAGAGAGGGAGGGAGAGAGACTGAGAGATAGGGATCAATCTGCAAATAAATCCTTCGTTGCTGGTTCTGGGAGTCCTATCCATCATTACTTTCCTGGGGTTCTTCGGCATTGTCATCGGATCCAGGTACTCATTGCTATGCTGACTATTTGATTAGCAGCCTTGGACGTGGTGTGCCTGGGATGCAAATGGAATGTCCTACACAGTGGGGTGGGATGCTTATGACGATGATGATGATGATTATTATTATTATGATGATGGTGGTGGTGGTGATGGTGGTGTGTGTGTGTGTTTTTGTTTGTGTTTCTTTTTGTGTCCATGTTTCCACCATGAAACGGCAAAATAGAGCTTCAAGGTCTTGCTTTTCAAGCGCAAGTTTTATGTTGTCATATGTTGTTCAGCCAGTTGTAAAAAGTTTACCATGACCTGATGGAGCTATCCTGGGTTCAGTCTTCTGGGGTTTGTTTCAGCTGGCTTTGTGAGGCGACCAGTTGTGCCGAGCTTCAGCGCTCAGCTGCGGCTGCAGTGGCAGAAGCGCAGGTGGGTGGATTTGGAAACCATCAAGTGAGTGTTTGGGGAACGTTGGATGTTTATGGTTTGGTATCTTCCAGTAACTATCCCAATTCCCAGTGGCATTGTTCGGTTTTCATTTGAAAGACAACCATATAGCATTAGCTACATGTAAGTAAAACCTATATTGTTTTGATTATATGTTTTATTTATTTATTTATTGATTTATTTATTTATTTATTTAAACAGTACAAATATATATATATACACTATCTTTTATTAGTACGTATATTACCGGTGGTATCCTGTGGTTTCCAGGGGCATCAAGAGGTAACATCTATATACCTGATTAGAATCAACCCTGGGCAGGCCAATGGATCTAAGCTTTCACCACTCACCCACAAGTTCGCAAAGCTGGGAACAGCTGGAAAACATCCTAGCAACATCGAAAGGGATCTTTCTTCACTTCTAAAACTACCAGTGACTCCTATTTGGGTGGAAATCCCAGTGCGCAGTGCAGTGGACCGGTCAACGTTGGAAGTCATGAAGGTGCCAGTTCTGCTTCCCCACGAGGTCTACCACTATTTGTATGTGCCTTGAGTAGTTGGTTCTTGTTGGTTACCCACTGCTTTGTTTTTGGTGAAGGGAGACCGATGCTGGTTATCTGGAAGATGCTGGTTATCTGGAATATGTTTATGCATCCATGGTGGACAGTAAGCTGATACCACACACAGTTCCATCCAATAAAGTATTGATTGAAGTGTTCACCAAACCATTTGTAATTACTCCCAACTGAACCACTCAAGTATGGCTATTCATCCAAAAAGGATATTGGGATAAACATGGATAAACATGAATATGTCTGTCCATGCCAACTCCAAGGCATCCAAAAAGGTCAAACTCGATGTGAACAAAATCAAAGAGTATTGGGAAAAGGCTGCGTCAGCAGATCATCCCGGTGCTTGGGGCGCCAACGTGGTCGGGTTATATGGTGATGATTGCAAATACAACAATGTTGGCGAAAAGGTGATTGTCATTGCCATGAACTTGGTTCTGTTTGAACCCAAAAGCTCCCTGTTTTCAAGTTTGATACATTTTCGATGGGCTGGACTTTACATCCTTTTTGGTTTGTTTTTTCCCAAATTTGAAGGCGTATGATTTTGTTACCAAAACCCAATGTCCACAAAATCAGGTTTGGACCTGTGCCGGTATCCACTGTTTACCCTTCGGTGCTCTCTGGCAGTCCCTGACTACAGCCTCCAACCCATTTGGGAAGTGATTTGCTGGAGTTTGAAGGCATCTTGATGAACATTAAACGTATGAAATCAAGTCCAATCTTTTCAATGTTGTATCCAAAAATGTTTTGGGAGTACTTGCCACCAATTTTTCTTATGGACTGCATGCACAGGTACTTAGCACAGGACTTCACCCTTCAGAAAACTTCAACGGTGAACCACTGCCTGCTGCAAAACAGAAACTTTCAGGGAAACCCATTGCAGGCCTGTGTTTTGTTGGAAAATTTCTAAATAGATCAATATGGTTCAAACTTGGGAATCCCTTTGTCTGGATGGTGAATTTAAAAAAGATTAAAATATGGGGTTCCCCCAATATTTTGATCAATACCCACATGGCATAAAAGGGGTTGCCTAAGCAAACCTACTGAACTATATACCCCTTCCCTTTCCAGGTGGTCCGGCGTATTGCACCGAGCATCGGGGTGACTGGAAATGGCTCCGCGAGTCATTGCAGCTAGCGGCGCATTGGGGTGCCACCAATTTCTGCCATAGATGTGTGGCCCGTAAAAGTGGATTCAACAGGACTCTTGGTTGTGCCCTGCATTTTGGATTTTTGGGTTATGATTTGTTTCTTCTGCTTGTAAAATGTTGATCATAAGTTGGTTCCATCTGCACATTGACATCCCATATGTATATGTCTATTTGACATCAATGAAAACAAACCTATATCCTAGGGATCATAAGTTGGTGCTATCTGCATACTTATCCCACAAATAGGCAAATATCTAACCCCAAAAAAATAAGCTAATCATAAAGATCATAAGTTGGTGATATATGCCTATTTATCCATAAGTAAAACATATTTTGATTACGGGGTGATTTCATCTTCAGGTGGACCCAGATCACCAAATCTTTTGGGCGAAGATCGACTACAAATGCTGTCAATGCCTGTTTCAGGCTGGGATAAGTTACAGCTAAAATTATGAGAGTAATTTACAAAAATACATGTCTTGATGATTTAGGGGTCACAATAGCCAACTAGGTTTGGGGACTACTGAATTTTGAACACTGCTTAGTTTGGACATGTTGGAAATTTCCACATATCAGTTCAAACATGGGGTGCTTGAGTTACCGCTGCTCCCTGTTAGGGAGCCACATCCTATTGTGGGCCTGCCGGGGTTCCAGATTGATCACCTGAAATGGTGTTCTATGCATACATTAAATTTGGGAATTTTGCAGTTCCTGAACGGAAGCATCATTGATCTCCTTGCATCACTGGGAACCTGGAACTAAACTCTGCTTTTTTGTGCTAGTGGTTTACCTTGGTTTCTTTTTTGGGTATGACTAATGATTTGATATGATTGCCAAATGCTTAAAATGTTGCATCTATTGGTGCAAACACACTGTCCATCGATCAGAAACTTCGGGTTTGCTCGAGCCGGTTTCGAGCATGGGCCAGCGTCAACTGTGTGGAGTTACCAGGCTTTGTTAGAACAACTTAGTTTTGATTTCCTACTTCCCCAAATATGAAGAGACCCACTACTTGGAGATTTGGACTCTGCCTTGTCTCAAGTGATCATTGTCTGAGGCATTCGCAGGGATATTTGACTGCTGGGATGTTGCATGCCGAAGGGCATCCTTGTCTCACAATCAAGGCTTGGAATGGCAGGTTGATGATCATATTTCTAGACCGGTGCCTGCGTGGATATCTTCAGAGTGTGCGTGAGTCTGGCTCAACCCCCTGTGTTGAAGCTGTTACTGCATCAGTTGCTGCTCGTGCAATTTGTGCTTGGTTTGATGCTGTGGAGCGTGCTGGCCGCTACTTGACACAGAGTGAGGCCACTTCAATTTACAGCTATGGGATGAGTTTCCTGAAAAGTTACAGCCGGTTGGGTATCCAGTCGGTGCTTTCTGGATCACGACGCTGGAAGTATATTCCCAAACTGCATGTTTTTCTTCACCTTTGTGAAGATATGCTGCATACAAAGCTCAATTGCAGACACACGCATTGCTTTAGAGATGAGGACCACGTTGGCCTCATAAAGAAGTTGGCAGCGAAGGTCCACAAGGGGCCACTGTTTGAGTTTAGAATCTTGACTAGATATCTTCTCAGACTCGGCTCTTGGCTGCCAAAGGGAAAAGAAAACAAAATGAGACAGGCAGAGTCCAAAGATCCAGCAAACTAACTTCAACATGATCAGCCTTGGGCAGGGGTTTGGGACCACAGGGTTTGTCGAAAATCGGTTTTCCAATAAGTATATGTTTTTAGCGAACTTATCCCCAAAACACCATAAGTTTGCATATTTGCATACTTAACGGGTAAGTAGGCATATAGCACCAACTTATGATCCCCAGGGAGTTTTATCATTTTTTTATCGTTTGAAAGCTGTCCCAAAATCATCGAAAAATCATCGTCGAAATCATCATTTTCTCCATTTTGGAGCATTTTTGAGGAAAACGAAGGGAACATCCCAAGAACGATGATTTAAACGATGATTCAAACGATAAAAAAATGATAATTTCCCGCAGTTTTATCATTTTTTTATCGTTTGAAAGCTGTCCCAAAATCATCGAAAAATCATCGTCGAAATCATCATTTTCTTCATTTTGGAGCATTTTTGAGGAAAACGAAGGGAACATCCCAAGAACGATGATTTAAACGATGATTCAAACGATAAAAAAATGATAATTTCCCGCAGTTTTATCATTTTTTTATCGTTTGAAAGCTGTCCCAAAATCATCGAAAAATCATCGTCGAAATCATCATTTTCTCCATTTTGGAGCATTTTTGAGGAAAACGAAGGGAACATCCCAAGAACGATGATTTAAACGATGATTCAAACGATAAAAAAATGATAATTTCCCGCAGTTTTATCATTTTTTTATCGTTTGAAAGCTGTCCCAAAATCATCGAAAAATCATCGTCGAAATCATCGTGGAAATCATCATGTTTTCAACGATTCCCAGGAATGCTACCCAAAATCATCGTAGAAAGCATCATTTTTCAGCATGTCCCAGAAAAGTCACCCGGAATCATCCTAGAAATCATCATTTTCTCAACATGTCCCAGAAAGGCTACCCAAAATCATCCTAGATACCACCCTAATCCTACAAGTGTCCACAAATCACCCTAGCTAATCAAAAAGTCAGCCATCCATGTGGCTTGAATCCTTTTGGAACATGGGTTTATGAGTTTATCGGATACTCTCCGCTGGAATTGGAGGGGCATGATGTGACATAGATATTGTCGCTAAGTTTACTCAAATGACATAGAGATTAAACTAGCTTCTTTGGACCAAGATGACATCGAGATTAAGACCCGCGACTTATAGGAGAGCAAACAGAAACCTTTGGCAAAAAACAATGACAAATCCCAGGATGGATTCAGGAAGGTTACTATGTTAAATGTAGGCTTGCAAAAAAAAACTTCGAATAGATTAGGTTTGATTAGACCTCGCTGTAGATGTTTTGATGGACTGTCTATCTATGCCATGCCTTTACGTATCCCTGGTTTCCTGGGGTCGGCGGCAGGGGCAACAGCCCTGGAAGAAATCCTAGGACGGATTCTAGGATGAATTTAGGATGGCAAACAGTAGAGGATAAATCCCAGGATAAATCCAAAGATGAAGTTAGGAATCCAAAACGCAGGTGATAAATCCCAGGATAAATCCAATGATGAATTTAGGAAGGCAAAAAACAGAGGATAAATCCCAGGATAAATCAAACGATGAATATAGGAAGGTTCCAACGACAAAATATCTTTTTTGGGTTTTCCATTCCCTGGCTGACTAAGATTCTTATAAGAATAGTGTTGTTTTGTGGTTGTTAGGTTTTTTCCTGTTTGAAAAACTTTTGCCTTGGATTTTGATTTTTCTTTCAATGAAAATGGTTTCTTTTGGCCCAAGAGGATTGTGACTAAAAGCCCACAAAGCTTTGCGGACTTGCAAAAGCTGAAAGGCTTTGTTAGGTGAAGCCAGCTGGCCAGATGAGAGATGAAAAATTGCACGCCGTTGTGGCGCGAAGCACATTTCCAAGTCAAAATGCACAAAAGACACCAGCTCCGGACCACTTTTGGCAGTTGAGATGTCGAAAAAGTGCACGCCGTTGTGGCGCGAAGCACATTTCCAAGTCAAAATGTACAAAACACACCAGCGTCGGATGCCGTGTGGTGGCAGCAGTGTTGCTTCTAGTTAAGGTTGTAACCAAGGCAGTGCTGCTGTAGCCTGTGCAACTCCCAGCACATGCCAGCACCCAAACGCTTTGTGGGCAGCGATGGGCTGAGATTTGTAGGAAGTAACAAGGCCCCCCGAAACCTGAAAGGTTAATGGGGTTGCTTCTGCAGGGGGCATGCAACACTTGGAGCAGTCTAGCGCAGAGGAAAAAACAGAGACTGAATCACGGAGATAGCAGGGCCATATCTGGCAACCCCAATCATTTTGGCAACCCCAATGCAAGGAAAATTCCTTTTGATCGAAGTTTCTTCTCCATGTGGAAGCGTCGGACGGAGTTGCTGCCCAAATCCTGAATGATCTCCCAGAGTTGTACTCGTCGATGGAAAAGAGGACTATGAAGAGCACGTCGAATATGCTGGGGTGTAGATTGCCACCGGAGTTTCCGCCACAAAGAAAATGCTCCAAATTGCCGGGAGTCGGAAAATTTGGTACGCGAAATGAGTCCCTTTCGGCAATTAAAAAACTGGTAAATGAACGGAGTATTTAATCGAGGTTGCCACAATTGAATTAAGGCTTGTTCCAAAGCCCAAAAGTTGGATTTATTGGTGTAGATCGGAAAAACAGACCACATCCAGAAATTGTCAAACCTGCACCAAAACCGTAAGGCAACTTCGGCCAACACGAATTTGTTTTGTTGCACTTGCAGAAATTTCCGATAGCGAGAGTGTTCACGGTCCAAAACAAAGGAAGA